TTTTCCATACAGCGGTTCATACATTTTGTCTCATGGATTGACTGCAATTCCCCACAGTGTAACAGCTCTCTTCCACTTCTTCCCTGTCGTTACCTCTTCCCTGTGTCCTTCCCTCCCTTGCACTTCCGCCCCATAAGCTGTCTCCCTGTGCAAACTAACTTGGCATTTTTATGATAAAATTCTTTTTAATTTGGGCTTGACTCTTGATGATAAACCTGAGACTTTTGAATAGTCTGTTGACATATTTTCCCCATCCCTTTCAGGTTCAATGGAGCGTTTTGAGTTACAATATTAACGATGATAATATTTTCTTCATCATAACGCCTAGCATATTTACACTAAAGTGTCTTCTTGAGAAACACATAGGAGAAAGAAGTCTGTTGACTAGTTTAATTTTGTCAGTTTGAAGGTGTGAATAAGAATGAAGCAATAAGCCAGCAGCTCCACGTTTTGCGGAAAGAAGTAAAGCATTTGCAAGCAGAAGCTGCTCAGCCACCATCACTTCATATTGTGGAAGCCGCTGTGCATGCAGAAAACTTGATTACGTAAGTTTTGAGGGCGTTATAATTTAAAGCATTATTTTGTTATTGTTGATAGTAATTGTACATGCTGCTGCTGCTGCATCCCCAAAACCTACCAATTAGTGTGCCAAGATTGGCAGACTGTGACCTTGGGCCAAATCTGGCCTGTCACCTATTTTCGTAGATAAGTTTTTTTTAGAACACGACAGTTTACAAATTGTCTATGGCTGCTTTTATGCTGCAGTGGCAGAGCTGAGTGGCAGCAACTTTATGGCCTGCAAAGCATAAATTACTGTCTGTCTCTTTATAACAAAACTTTACTGACCCCTGAATTATGAGATGATAGATTGCATTGAAATTCAGTCATGGAAAGATTCAGTGCTTAAGTAAGTCATAGTAACCCAGGAAGTCGTCATTGCCAACCCTTAGGTTACTGAGCAGAGTTTGCAGCAGAATTGCTCAGGGATTATGGCTTTCAAGTGTAGCTGCAAACTTGAATTTGGCCATTCTGATTTTCTCTTGGAGCACCTGGCTTTCTCTCATGAGCTCTTTTCTTTCTAAAGCCGTGACTCAGGGGAGGGCCAATGCACTTTTTGACTTTCACATTATGATGACTCTAAATTCTAGTATCAGCTGCTGTCTCAGTAGATTGGGACCCTGGGGTAGAGGGGGATGTTGAGCCCTTGGTGGGTTTGGTTGAGAGCCTGGGAAGGAGGAGGAGAAGCTGAAAAAGATGTTGATAGTTCTTTTACCAAGAAAGGGACTTAAACAAGTGTGAGAATTAGGATACCTTTTGCAAAAAGGCAAGGAGGCCACATCTCCTGACCTCCTCTAACCCCATAAGAGGAAGACAGAATCACCATCAATAGCCCAAGGCCTATTACTGCAAGGCCAGACATGCTGCCTCCCACCAGCCCTTTCACCAACTGTTCCTCCCAAAGCACCCACCACCTCTCTCCTGGGTTTAATAATTCACTGCAGTGGCCACACAGAACTCACAGATTACGGGGTTTATTAGGGAAATACCAGGCTACAATTCAAGTTCAGGAAAAATGCTTAGTCTCTCTCCTACAGTCTCTCTCCCAACAGTGTGTGTCCCTCGGTGTCTCACTCAGCAACGCGTGTCTCTTGCGTCTCTTTCCCAGCAGCATGTGTCTCTTTCAAGAGCATGTCTTCCTCAAGCAGCAGTCGGGGAGAGACTTCTTTTGCCTCTAGGAGGCCTCCTTTTGAGCCTGGCAGAGTGGCCAAACTAACCAATCATAACTTCACAATTCTAAGCACCTGAGAGAGAACCGGAACCTCCCAGAACATTGCTTTGTGCCATGCCCAACAGAAATACCCCAGGTGGATAACTTTATAATCTGGAGCTCCTCAGTTGCTCGCAGCAAATTCCACCACAGAGTTTACAAAGCCTTATGGCTAGAAAAGCCACACTAAGTGATTCACTGCACCGCACCTGTGTTTCTAGCATCTTCATTCTATACAAAACTCCTTTTCCTCAACCTCAGACAGTATTTTTATTTATAAAGTTTAGAGAAATCAGGGTTCTTGTTTTTAAATATACATATTATGTAAGTTAAGCATGAAGTTAAATAACAAACTATAAATTACATACAAAATAAGAAAAATTTAAGAAGGGTAAAAATGTTAATTAGTCCTTATAAATACAACTGATTTTGTTTTTCCTGCCCTAGGAGGGCTTGAAATAATTACTATGTATTGAAAATAAGTTGAGAGATACACACTTTTCCCATGAAATATTTTAAAGTAATGTCTATATGGGATTCTGAGGACTCTTAAGCATATTGCCTGCCTATCTCTGTAGGGTATACAAAGAGACACTTGTGAATATGGATTCTCTTACGATAGACCAATGATCTTACCTCTGTTTTCCCATAGGGCCTTAGTGAATGCCTACAAGTTGCAGCCTACACCTGGAGTTCAGAAAGTTGGCATTGGCCTCTTCTTCACTGTTGTGGATTATGTCAGCGATGAGACACAGCGCCATCCTCCTACAAGGCAGTTCTTTACATCATGCATAGAGATCTTGGGACAGGTAAAGTTATTCTGTGTTTTCAGCCTTAATCAGTTATCCTGAGTCCCTCCGGTATCTTCATTAGCTATAGCTGTGGTTGACTTTAGACTTAAACTGCAGGTTCAGAGTCCTGCCCAAGTCAGAAGCCACTTTGACCTGTTGGCTTTGAGAAATGTGAAAATAGTAATAATAGCAGTGAAGCTCCATTATTTCACTGTCCCAGAGTCTCTGTGTGATCAATACCATCCCCACTCCAAAGATGAGGTAAGTGAGGCTCTGAAAGGTGAAGTGACTTCCTGGAGAACAGCTGTGAGTGCTGGAGCTGAGATGGCCTGCCAGGTGTCCCGGCTCGTTCCGTGCTTGCTCCACCTCACCTCTGCTGCCTCCCAGTTGCTTTTCTCAGCCACCATTTCTTTACTTGACTCACTGTTAAATACATGGGTATTAGGGTGTGGGCGATGTATCCATGCAGATTTATGAAACGTGTTGTAAAAGAAAGGAAAGACACTTGTTGGAAAACTTGTAAAGAATGATTAACCCTCTACTCTCACCCAAATTCAGTTGAATGAGTATTTATTTATTGGACATTTAAAGATGGTGCTACTTAAGAGGTATTATAGATTGTTTTTTCATTTTTTCAGAAGTTTTTTTATCCTGATTCTAACACTGTTGTGTGTTTATTATAAGCAGTGCATATGGTACAAACAATATAAAGAGGGAAAATACCTCATAATCCTAACCACCTAGAGACTGACTTACTCACTCAGCTAACATTTCATTGTAACCTGATTATGTATAAGGAGCTCTGGTAGCACAGTGCCTAAGGCATCTCACTGCTAACCAGAATGGTTGGTGGTTCAACCCACCAGCCACTCCATGGAAGCAAGACTGGGCAATCTACTTCCGTAAAGATTTACCACCTTAGAAACCCAATGAGGGAGTCACTATGAGTCAGAATTGACTCAATGGCAGTGAGTTTGGGTTGTTTTTTTTGGTCTATGTCTGTATGTATTATGTGTATTAGTGGTGGTGGCTGTCAAGTTGCTTCCAACTCATAGGGATCCTGTGTATAACAGAATGAAATGTTGCTCTGTCTTGCGCCACGCTTGCAGGAGCAGGGAAGTTTAAGCCCATTGTTGCAGCCACTGTGTCAGTCCTTCTTGTTGAGGGTCTTCTTTTTGCTGATCCTCTGCTTTACCAGACACGATGTTCTTCTCAGGAATCGGGCCCTCCTGCTAGCCTGTCCTTAGTGAGATGAAGTCTCACCATCCTCACTTCCAAGGAGCATTTTGGCTGTTCTTCTTCCAAGACAGATTTGTTTATTCTTCTGGCAGCCCATGATATATTTAATATTCTTCACCAACACCATATTCATATGGGTCAATTCTTCCTTATTTATTGTCCTGTTTTCGCATGCATATGAGGCAATTGAAAATAACATGGCTTGGGTCAGGCTCACTTTAGTCATCAAAGTGACGTTTTTGGTTTTTAAGATTTTAAAGAGGTCTTTTGCAGTGGATTTGCCCAATGCAATACGTTATTTGATTTCTTGGCTGCTGCTTTCGTGGGTATTGATTGTGGATCCAAGTAAAATGGAACTCTTGACAACTTGAAGCTTTTCTCCATTTATCATGATATTACTTATTGGTCCAGTTCTGTGAGAATTTTTGTTTTCTTTATGTTGCAGTATAATCCATACTGGAGGCTATGTAGTCTTTGATTTTCATGAGGAATTGCTTCAAGTCCTCTTTGCTTTCTGTAAGCAAGGTTGTGTCATCTGTATATTGCAGGTTGTTAATGAGTCTTCTTCCAATCCTGATGCTGTGTTCTACTTATGTAGTCCAGTTTCTTGGATTATTTGCTCAGCATACAGATCGACT